TCATCAAGAGCACGACGGCGCGATCACGCTTAAATCCCGAATGAAGATTTTGACGGGCGAGTCCTTTGACTCGCGTTCAGACAATCAAACGGGTCGTAAAGTTAAAGATGGTTCAACGAAATCCTTTACATCGAAATCGACAGACGTGAAATTTAAATGGGTAAGGTTTACGACACTGGAAATTATGTTTGGAAGTTCGGAGAACCAATGTAAAAGCGATGCATTTAAAAATCGTAATTTTTATTTTCGAGTACGCTGTAAACCAACCGCGTTATATTCTAACGCGTTTCTTTTAACCAATACACTTGAATTATTTGCACGATAACATATTAAATTGTCTACCGTACTCACTCATTACGTGAATATTACGAAAATTTTGACGAAAACGTCATACATTCATCTCTTTCCAATATTTTCTCGTAAAACCCGTAATAATGTGAAATTAAAATAACTTATTGACAATATAATAATATGAAGATTAAGATAACATAGATTAAGCGTATATACATTCACACATATGCACGTGCACACGCTTTTACTTCTCGAATAATCGGATGTCACAGCTCCCGGTTAATTTTTTTCGGCGGAGAGTAATTTTTCGCGGTGATTTCAACGCACGGCGTCCGTCGGATTCGACGACTGGCCGGCGCCAGCGCGACGAGATAGCGCTCGTCACTCGCTTGCGACAGAAAGAAGCGGCGGCTGACCAACGGCCGCGCGTACGATTGTATTTCCGCGCGATAAAAGGGGTGTAAAAAAATATTAACGCGCGTTTTAATTGTCATGCGGGCCTCGCGCCTCCGCGCCAGTCGTAGATAAGCAAGTTACACAAACGCGAGATAATAAATTATGGCTATTTTAATTGCCGTTCGCCCGGCCGCCTCTTCCGCAAGAGAGCTCCAAGTCGCGGCTCGCAACCGCGGCGATAACGGGCCCAAACGATATATTCCATCCACCAATCGCTAATGATTTATCGTCGGCCGACTGTTAAACGCCTTTCGCGGATTCGACTTTGAGATGGGCGCCGCTCTGGCGAAACGAGTCACTTAATCTCAATCAAATCTTTTTTGTCCGCCCGTACTTGCCCACAATGAGATGCGCTTAGGAGCTGTTAACGTCGTATTATTAATAATAATGTAAGTTAATAATGTACGATCATAATCTTATATCGCAAGCGGATAAATCAGTTTTTTTTCAGAGATTTTCTTCGATAAAAATCAATTAAATAATAAAATATAGGATAATACGAGTTATTTTGTAGCCGGTTATTTATTTTCCACATGAGGTCATTTCCATGATCGCCAGCGTCAACGATTTCGCGAGAGAGCGATGATTAATGTATTTGCGAAATAATCGACATCGCGAAACCGCGCATGAATAAAAAAAAACCCGGTATGCTCGTTTAGGCTCACTCGGTCTAATTAGAAATAGAGAAAGCGAGCGAGCGAGTGCTCCCCACACGTTCATGTTGTCGTAATTAATTAGCCCCGGGGGAACTATTTTACCCCTTTCCCCTTTCTCTCCCTTCCTCAATTGACTAAACAAATTGCAGCAATATTAGAAAACCGGACGCACGCACTGTGAAATAAAAACTGACAGTGTTGTTACACCTTTCTTTCAGAGAAAATTACTTTCCCACTTAAACGTTCCGAATTTCCTATCTCTAGTATCTCTAATTAATCCTTTAAACAGCCTGCAACAAAATTTACAATTGTAACACACTTCTTTTACAGACATTTATTCTTTCAATGATTTTTTACGTTACATTAACCTAAAGCAGGTGTATCATGTAGTGTTCCTTTCAATAAAATGTATTTTTGTCCTGCGATATACTTTAACGAGCATATTTGTCTACAATGTATAACAGGTTGATTAATTCTGATTAGCTTATCCCTGCGTCGTATCGTCACGGTAAACACATCGCTGCCGATAGGCGAGACAAGACGATCGCAATTAGGCAAACGTCCGTGTTATACCTCACCATCGCGAGATGTCCCGCGGGATCAGTTTCATAAGTGGAGCTTGTAAAGCGCGATTGGACGCCGTCGTGAAATATCGCTCTTAATAGCGCGCGTTCGTTGCGCCTCGCCGTAACTGTCGCCGATTAACAACGAATAATTCCGGCCGCGCGCGCGTGCAAGAGACTATTAATTACAATCAATAATCGCCGCTCGTCTCTCACCCGCTCGCGCTGCTTCGCGTCGCGAATTTTCTCACGATCGCGGAATCATAATCACGGGGAACGGAAAAGACAGTCGGCGATAAATTCCCCTCCCCCGCGCATTTCTCGGCCTTTCGTAATTTTCATTCCACGCCTCCGGCAATGGCAATTACGCTTCCCAGCAACGCAAACTTCTCGTGTATATCAATCGCGTTTAATTAGTCGGCGAGCCGTTGTACTACCAGTGATAGCATTCGCGGGAATAAATCGCGACGTACGAGAAGTATCGGCAACGCGACACCGTTGACCCCGATGGTGAATTCTCTCTCTTGCCTTCCTACTCCCTTTCCCTCTTCTCAAAAAATCTCACGCTCGTGCAGGCCCCCATTAATCGCTGGCGATAGGACCGGAAAAGCACTCGTTCCCAGCAAAGTAATTGCTGATAGCAATTAATTTAGGCTTGGAGCCATACCTCTTCGCGTCCTGTGAGATACAGCTTGAAGAGATATCACGATGACTTTTTCTCTGTGCCGAAATCTGTGATTTCTCTGTCAATGAGATTTTTTGCATTAATTTCGAAGATGATCAAGACGCAGGCGAAAGTAGTTAGAAAATTGTCACGAAAATTGAAATTGTTTAAATATTCAATAACTTCACGTCACACACGCACTAAAATACTTAAGAGTTATTTTATTTGAAAGACAGCTAACGTGTCACAATATATTTTATACAATCAACATCGGATATAATGAAAAAAAGCAAATTTAATGAAAATTTGCTTTGTCGGGTAATTCGCACTGTCGGCGTTTTTGACAGGTACGCCTAAAGATACTTTTCCGAAAACAAAAATAAACAAAAGCGCGATATCTAAATAGCGGGCGGTATATGGCGCTAACAGACGTTCCTTCACACCGGTTTCTCTTATCTACGCAGGCATCGAAATCTGGCGTGTCGCACGCGTTTCCTCTCGACCCTCGCCGCCAAAAGCCAGTGAGAAGCAAATCTTGTCGGTGATTTTTACATATCGGCAAGGAATCCCGAAGCTTTTTTGTACAAGAACCGCTCCCGCAGGGAATTGATCCGCGCAGTTCCTTTGGGCGTAACGCACCTACGGACCCGAGTTCCCAACATTGCGGACATTCACACATCACTACACGCTACATACACCCACAATTACACACTTCCGAGTTTGTGTACCTGAAATTTTTTATTTGTGCTATATTATCCGAAGTTTCGCTATTTTCATTTTCCAATTTTCATCTTCGGCCGTATCGCACCAGTGAGGGAAGCAGGTGCCACAAAATACTCAATGTACATGACTCTCTCCCGCAGCGCTTTTGTGTATCAGGCGGTACAAACTTTTGTGCGCGAGGTGTCAAACGTTAAACGACAAACACCAAACATTGGTGATACTCTTGAAAAGTTTCACAAGTTTGTTGTGGCGCTTCTGGTTTTCGCTTTCCGAGAGCCTCGACGATGTCTGTCACGGTTAAATAATTTTTTTTTCATTTATCTTCGCGAAGTAATCGATTTGCTGTCAATGATTGATACCTAAGATAAATCTTCCTGAACGGAATATAATTGAGGTTTATTAACGTTGATGTCCAGCTGGCATATAAAGAAGAAATCGTAACACGCTGGATTGAAACGGTGCGAAAGTCGATGACATATTCCTAAATTTTTAGCGAAAGCCTGCTACTTGCAACATATGGAAACTTGGTAACTGCAGGGAACCCAATTGCAGCGGCTGAATTGGAACAAAGAAGAAGACGCTCTTTGCAAACTGCTCAGATCTTTGCACGTCACATACTAACTGAATACAACGTCAAAGAGGAACCACGATCTACATCGAGAACGATTTCAACGTGTGCTGTTTCAGTGCGCGGTGTGTCTTTATACGGGATATATATCGGGCGTAGAGGAAGAGAAAGTTGTATTACTTATTTTCTTTAAACGCAATGACGGATCGTGCGCGTTTCTAAGCGTCTCTTCCGAAATTCCGCGAGTACGATACTCCGTACGTTGCAAAAAATTATCGATTAATCTTCCCGCTAATCTTTCATAGTACAAGCACGAAAGAACAAAAAGAACGCTCTTTGTGTTCACACGAATTCACATGAGAATCGGCACACTGGTTGACTTCGCATCGACGTCACTGGGTCACGCCTAAATCCAAGATGTTTGACTTTCGAGCGTCAAAATCTCTCACTCTATCGAGTTTTCTTTCTATTTATTTTAAAGCAGCGTTAATGGTACAGTGCGGATATTACAGCCGGAATAATTTGAGGTTGTGAATCTAACAGCTGACATTTCTTCGAGGAACCTGAACTCAAAGATTAATGTGCTTCTGAGGATGTTTACATAACTCTCTAAAATGAGGATAGAGCCCACTCTGTTAAAGGTTTTCTGCCACTGATCGATTATTAGAAATCTTATCCTCGTCTTGAAGCTTGGTTTTAACCAGTATTTTTAACCACGGTTACTCAGAAGATCTTGTGTTGTATACAATTTGTTGTATATCATAAGAAACAATGAACGAACCAGAATCCAAGGAACCAAGAGATCAATAGGGACCAACCACTTTGCAATTTCGAAAGAGATGCACGTTCGCAGTGCAGAACGCCTGCAGAACTTCTCACCTGTCACTAAATCGAAATTTGAACCACCACGAAAGAGGGAGAACATCCCCGCACTTGTCAAAATATACCACACGATCGTGAAATCAACTCTGATCACTGAATTATCGCAAAACGGTGGAAAAATAAATTTTCGACCATTACTGCGGCCATCACTGCGCTTCACCACGGCGATCACGATGAAGAGGCAACTTTTCACGTACCTGGGTTCATATCCCGAACTCTCGGTTTTCCTTTTTTGCCTGCAGTTGCACTCGCACCCTTGGACTCTCACTGTACTCTCTTGAAGCACAAAGCGATTTTTCCTTTGCTCTTTCGCTCTTCTCGCGAACCGTTGGCAAAACAGCGTCTAGCACTTTCCACTTTCAATTCGAGTTTCCACTAGGTATCCTGCGCGAGTCGAGGAACCACGGACGGAGGAAGCGCGATAGGAACGTTGAGAGGAACGATATTGGAGCACAACACACAGTCTTCGAGGCGGTTCGCGAGCCGATGAGCGAGTTTACCATCCGAACACTCCTTGACACGTTGTGAGAATGACGGACATACGCCGTAACATGCCTTATTTTTATTTGTTCAAAGTATCTGCTTTATCTTGTTTATAAGTTTCCTCTCTTGCTCCAATATTTTATAAGGCGGTACCCAAAACTGCATCTTAGTGTCTTCCGGGACTCGACCCATCAACTCGCTCGCACCGAATGAATGTATGCTCTCCATGCACCGAGCCACTGCTTTTCCGTTTACATTTGAGAAGTCTCTTCTTCCTCCTTTTCAATATCTCAGTCCAGTAAAATTAATAAAGAACTAATATCTCCCTTTTTGTTGTTCCTTTCCTAATTGCTTTCCCTAAGTTGAGTCGGTTTTCCAACGTGGCAACGCAAAATTTCCTTTATATTCCTGTTGCTTTTGTTCTTTCTAATGGGCTTCCGTCCTTTTTGAGATGCGGTGTTACCAGGCCTATTTTCTTCTACCAATGATCACAACGGTAACGAACGAACGAACGAAAAAAAAAACAACGCGTTACGTCCGCGCGAAGAAGCAGCCCCTCGGCGAACAAGCGTGCCAGGGTCCTTGACGAGGGGGTGACAAAAGTGCGTCGTACGTGGCGCGATAACGGCGGCAAGGGTTCTTGCCGGGGCTCCGCGGCTCTCTCCTCTCTCTACACGCACGGATATAATATTTTAATGAAGGAAAGGCCGGACAGAGCGAAGTGCCCACGTCGGCTCGCGCTGCCGAACTGTTAGGTTCCCCGCCCCTCTGGCGGCTTCCACCCCTCCCCAGAATGATGCACAACTCTCAGTCCCACCACACACCGCGGACTTCCCCCCCTTTCAATCGCGTCATGCGCGCTAGAGGTTCTTCGCGGAGAATGGCGTAGCCAACCAGGAGTTGGGAGGCCGGGCTTTGCGTTTGGATGCTGTATCCGCGAACTTGGTGCCGCGCTTAGCGTTACGTCTCTCGCCGCTCCGGACTATAATCGTCGCCACCGCGCCACGTCTCTTACCGCGGTCGCCTCCCCCACCACCATCGCTGCTACCACCCCAACACCCCCACCGTCACCCTTTCCCCCACTCGCATCGGTCGCTACCACCACCTTATCTTCACCACATCACGCTGCTCCACTACTAGCAAAACCAGCGTTACTACGAGTATCGTGCTCGGCTGGAGAACCCTGAAGACGGTACTCGGTTGCGACAGCGCAGAAGTCGCGAACGAGGCGATGCTGGTGGCGTTTGATAGTGGGGGGGAAGGAAAGAGGCGCGAGTCGGCCGCGGTCGCGCGCGCGTCGGCTGCTCTCTCCTGCCGGCCTGCAACTTCCCGGATATCTTTCCGGTAAACTTTCCTCTCCTCGCCGGGGTCGGGAGGAAAGCCCCGACTTTTCCCATCTCGCTCGCTCCGCCGCCGGGTTTTCACGCGTCCGGACGTATCGTCTCCCGTCCTGGCCCGAACCGAGATCCAGGATTTCCGACCGGCGGGAGAGACGCCGACGACATCGCGGGCTGCGTCGCGAGACCGGAAGAATTCGCCGGCGGTCTTTCTCCTTCTCGTCTCCTTCTCTCTTTGATTTCCTTCCGACGAGACGCCAGGTCCGGCGTGATAAACGTGAAAAGTGTTCTACGCGCTCGTAGATAAGACTTGTGCTAATTGCGTGTTTTTTTTAATAGTGACAAAGTTCGAGATAAATCTCTTGTGCACGAGATTCACGCGACACTGTATTGGGCACCAATGGTAGCAGAGAAACTCGTTTTATTGTAAAATTTGTGAATCTGATTAGTGTATGTTTTTAATTTTGATCAAAGCTCTCTTCTCTCTCTTAAAAGTATATACCAATCAAATTCACGAATTTTATAATAGTTGCAAAGAAACTAATAAAGTCTCCGGTTTGCCCGCATATATCGCTCAGTATTAATGATGTTCTGGAGGTACCGTTTCAACCAAATACAGGAAATATTAAAAATACCGATATTAATTCTCCAGGGATCCCCAGACAAAAAAATGTATATAAATAGTTACGACAAATCTAATAGAATGTAAAAGACTGTAGATTTAGTGACTGTAAATAACTGTTACTACTACGATTTTTTTCAAAGAAAATCTCGAAAAAAATTTTTGTAAATCGTTTCAAATGCTTGTTGTATTTTTGTTTGCTGATAATCTACTTGTGTGTAAAACATCATTATATTGGTATCATTTTTTAATGTTACACTTCTCTGTTACGCCATAAGGTTACGTGTTAGAACTCGGATATTCAAAAATTGATAACTTTTTATATCTAAATTGTGAATCAATATAAAATTTAGCCCCGAACTTTGATAGAATTTTCTTTCAACGAATACAGAATATAATATCAAATTTTCATCAACTTCGTAGCATTTTGATAATCTCCAGAACGTCCTTAAGATATGTGCGTCGTTCTTACTTCAAATGTTTCTTTAAGATGAGCAAATGCATCATGATAAACTTTATACGATTAATATGTCCGTTAAATATGTATAATCCAAATCATATATAAAATTTGTCACCCTAAAAAATCCTGCTACTCTAATCACACGAAGATCCCGTTTGTAAGTTTACGCTATAGGCTGCGGTCCACTTGACGCTAAAAATTCTTTGGAGCGTTCTTCTTCTCCTTCTTTCTTCATTGAAAGAAAAGAAAAGAGGAATGCTTCGAAGCATTTGTAGCGTCAAGTGGACCACAGCCATAAACGTATTATGCCTACATTTTAGTAAAAGATTCAGAAAAATCAGAAGATAATAATAATAAAAAGAAATAATCTTCAACAACAATGATAATAATAAATCTGGTATTAAATTTACAGTGACGATATCATAATGGCGACAAATCTGGTCCTGCAAATAATGGTGGTGCGAGGATGACGTAACATTTTGACGAAATAGCGACAAGAAATGAAGACTCCGGAGAATGAAGAAATTGGAAGCGATGCCGGATTCCTTCGAGTGCAACGTTTGCAAGAAATTATTTTTGCAGGAAGTTACGTTTGTAGAAAATCATTAGCTGTACGATTAGCATGTAACCAGGTATGCTTGAACAACCTAAAGCCGTCATTTTAAGCTCTACTATGGCGATGCTAAAAATTATCAATAATGTTAATATGTCTAGATAACGAGGAACATGCCAATCGATGCTCTCATCAAGAGTCAAATTGCGTAATATACTAGTGGAGTCGTAAATGTGGTATTTTTAGAGCAATATCCTAACCTTACACTTCTCACAGTAACTGACACGTGTCCCCCAAAACTACACATCGGTAATAGCGTATAGTCTACTGAAACTTTAGAAAAATCGCGTCTCTCGTCATCTTTTCGCATTCGCGATAACGCTGAATACAAAAATACCGCACTTACTCACATTAATAAAATTTAACTTACGTTGTGTCAGATGCATTTTTATTGCATAGGTTTTGCCATTCTTACCTATCAATACTACTTTAGGTCCAGTTGCAATACGTATCGTGACAACTACTTTTCACACTTGAAACGCTTGAGGTACCGGTATAATAAAACACTCGCACGGTACGAGATTTATAAGATGTTGCATATTTTAAAATTGCATATGAAAATTATGAGACTGCCTACAAAGGAATTAATCGAACGACTCACTACTACTTTAACCGAAAACTTTCCGATAATAGAAAACTTTTCAAAAAATAACGCGATGTACTGTGCTGACTGTGCACTATGAGATTCTTATGTCCAGTAAGGACATGACAAGCCTACTCGATGGACTTCACTCCATGAGTACTCAAAGAACAATAATACCGCCTAGTGATTCCCCCCCCTCAACTTCCGAGTCGAAAGTTTCGAGAAAAATCTTGAAAAACATGCTTTACTCCGTATAACGAGAGATCATGGTTTATCAAACATAAAGAACGATAGAGCAAAAATTCCCAGGTAGGAATTCTGGTTGCGCCAAGCCTGAACCAAGCGTGAGCCAAACGTGAATTCACTGGACTAAGCCTGGCTCGAGACTGGGCCATTTGTTATTCCTACCTGGGTTAAAAGTTTTCATGAATTTATTAACATGTATAAAGTAGTTATCACATTAAATATCATACGTGAGACAACGCAGCATAGCGATCTTGAAGTATTATAAAATATATAATATATTCTAACGCATATAATAAATGTATCAATGTTGACCATTGGTAGTACGCGCGATCTGAATAGAAAATCGTGCAAAAACAACAGTATGGAATATGTTAATACAGAGTTACAACTTTATTCTACGCTTTTCTTAACTGATAGCAATGCTCGGAAACTAATTAGAAATTATTTGAAAGAATTGTGTCCGTATAATTACCGATAAGTAGGTAAGCAAATTTGTTATCTCTCGCTTATCTCTGTCTAAGAGAAATAATAAGATATGATAATAAGATAATGATGTACAGCAATCAATCCATGTTGAATAATTTTTGGTAAGAAAAAATCGAGACGTATGTATCTTTGATCGACCGCTAAATATAATAAATGCATTCAAATAATTATGAATTATGATATATTCGTGATTTGACATTTTTTTTTTATAGAAACCGATTAGGAAATTATTGTTCAGAAAAGATTTATGATCGAACAAAGATATACTCAAAATGCAAAAAGCAAAGGAAGCGAAAAGAAAAATATAAAGCTTGTTCGTTTTACACGTTAGAGAGAAAAATAGAAAATATGGATGACGCCTATGGATGTAAGTCTCCGTCTCGTTTCTTTCTCCTTGGGACATAAAATCTCTTCGAAACAATCGCACTGTTCTAGGCGACGCTTATTCTCGTTTTAGTTTTAAAAAATATAGAAACAAATAAAAGAAGTAAGACAAAAGAAGACAGCCTAAGAAAGCGGCTGTCGGTTTGTCCCACAGCACATAAAGTTGTCCCAAAGTGTAAAAGTTGTCCCAAAACACATAACACAGGTCGTTCTAACAATCATAGTCGGAAGCAATCCATATTCCTATTTGTTATTCACTAAAAATTGAACAAAGACAGAACGACGCTGGTGTGCACCCGAATGAAGTTTCTAAACGCAGCCTTAATATCTATTAGAAATTTCAGTTTATGTGCGAAAATTTCGAGAAATCGAAATATGAGAATGACAATGAAAATTCTCTATCAAATTTGCTGTACAGTATCAATATGAGAAACAAATATGGAAGATGATAAGATAAACGTTCATAGTTGCTTACATGAAGTTAACAAGATACAGATAAATTTGTTACAAGACCAGATAAACAGTCACAACAGTTTGAAAACAGTTTTATAAAATAAAAATTTTATAAAATTTTTTAATATAACAAGAATGGAGAGAGGAAGACAGCAGATTGTACAATCTAATTTTTATAAAGTTTCTGATACTATCTAACTATCCTACAAATTTTGTATGAATTTTCATGAAACATTACATATTAAGAAGTATAGTCGACATTCAAATGTATTTTTCTTGGTTAATACCATCTATTATCCGTTGTAATATGTATGTTTAAAAAATTAGCATAATTCTATTGTGCTTCCATGCTCGCTTAGCAGGCCGAAACCTGACCTCACCCTTGCGGTGCCAGAAACCCCAAGGACAGATACGGTGGGAAATTGTCTGGTTCACGTGCGTGCACATGGTTCACCCCCGGCGCACCTCGCGTGTGCATCGAGTGCACGCGCGAAGGGTTGATTCGTACTCCCTCAAGGATTCGAAGGACGCACTCTGAGCTCGATCGCCTGACGATTCTCGCGATGCACGCGACCCGCGCGACGGTTACCGACCACAGGTGAGAACTCTTCGGGGAGCATTTTCTAAAGAGAGTGCCGTCGCGGATCGACGGAGGAAGACGGGGAAAAAGTAATGGCGGGACGAGAAGCGGCAAGACTAGACTGGACACTCTCGTCCACGTCGTAACTTTTGAATCGAGAGGGAAACCGGATCTACCAGACAGCCGGGCGCCGCGAACTGCACCCCTCTTCGATAACGACGACGAGGGGCTGCCGGCCATTCTTCTTCGCGTAACTTCGACCGTTGATCGACCATTGAACACTCTTTGAAACTATGAGCTTGGACCGAGTTTAATTATATTATTTAATTTAACTCTTCCTTTATAATATGTATATACGTATATACGTAGATAATTATCATTTTAGAGATTTTGCAGCACGTATCCATTTTTCCATGAAGAAACGTGATAGAAAACAAAAGGAAAAGTGTAGTTCTATACCAGCGATGCTGTTAGCATGCTGTTCAAGTCAGCAGTCTGACATTGTCATTATTTGCCGACACGTCTTTTCTCATGGTTATCATCTTCATTTTTTATGAAATTCATATACCTAACAAAACATTCTAGATCTTGTGTAAAAAAGCATTTTTTAAAACAAAACAAAAAAAAAGATAAATTGAATCTACCCATCAGGACTGCGTTCGAAAACTTCACTCGGATGCATACCAGTGTCACATTCTGTCCTTGTTCAATTTTTAGAAAATAATAAAGATAGAACGGTGCGGAGTAAAGTTTTCGAACGCAGCTCAGCATGTGGCATCGTTGTGAGTATAATCAAAGCACAAATTAAGGTTTTTGTTTTTTAGTCTACACTATAACTTTTGTCTACAATATATACTTTTTCTTATAGAAAATCAGCACGTTTCTAACATCTAACACTTAAGCCTCCGCTTCTTTTGTAAAAAATCTCTGTGTTCCGCTTATTTCTATTTAAAAGCAAAAATTTTGATATGTTCCACATTTTCTTCAAATGTTTTAGTTATTTCATTATTTGTCACGTATTTTCAAGTTATTCACATTAACAGCTAATCAAAAAAAGGTGATCGAGATGATAAAACGAGCCCGTCGCTAATGTCTCCTTAAACACACGCTAACTACAGAAACGGAAACCGTCTAATTCGTAGTCCAATTCGTGGGGAGATGCAAAAATGTCGGGGATGAGATGGGACCGTCTAATTGGTGAAGCGGCATAGGTGGAAGAACAGAAGAAGCCGACGATCCGATCGACGGGATCCGCGAATGTTGTTTAAGGTCTAGACACAATGTTGGACCCTCGAATTAGTGGTCTCCCTACGCGCGGTGCCTCTACGGTAATTAACGAAATTAGTCGCAATTAGAGAGTGGGTCCGAGAGGACCGAGAATGGCTCCGGCGCGGCGTGTCTCTCTACCACGCGAGAGCCAACCATAAGTAAGGATCCCGAAGTCACGTCGGTGGAACGAGGAGACTCGTCGTCGTGCGTTGCGTTTACGCCAAGCCTTAATGACTAACCGTCTCGTTCGAAAAAGTCTCTAAACACGAAACTATGGGAAGGTAGGCCTGCGATTATAGCGAAGGCTAAAAAGGAGGTATGCCCCTTCCTGGTAAATGGCTGAATTGTATAATTCGAGCGTAGAGAATGACTCCGTTAATACTCGACGAGCCTCTCATTTTTATCCTTCGTGCATGGAAGCACGTACATGTACATATATACGATATTTGAAATTAAAACATCATATTTTTAAGACTACGTTAAAATATGTAGCAAAAATGTTACGAATGTTTTATCGAATATACTAAATATTGAATATTATTGACCATGAAACGAATGAAATATTTGATGCATTTAAGTAATTAATTTTTGTTTCACCGTAAGTTTCTTTCTTTAACATAATTTCTATATACAATGTTAGTAGAATAATTTGCAAAATTTGGGATTACGTGACAGGTACGCTGAACCTGTTAGTTATCAAGTGTACACCATGTTGCCAGAATTATAAACATATGGGGTAAAAGCTGATAGGGCATCAGAATAGAATGCGACCGGCCCTTGTCCAACAAGAGAACCCTAAATATCACATAGTACCTGCCGCTTCGTGTTCCGAAAGTTGGGTGACCGTCAGCACAATACAATACTGGTTGACCGTTTTCCGTTCACGAATAATTTGAAAGCACAAAGATCTTTTATATTACTTAAGCATTGTTTACAAAGTTTTAATTCTAAAGGTCCGTCCTGTTATTATTTTATATTATTTTATGTTAACTATTTGTAATAATTGCAAAACTGGAATGGTGCAATTATTACAATCAAGGCATGCAATCAAGACATTCAGCGGATCAATATTAGCATAATAAACCAGTGCATTTAATATAAACTATCGCGATAAATATTCGAGATTGTAAATTATTATAAGGATATTAATCATTTCTTGCTAACTGGATAAAATAATCATATATAAATTACGTATCAATAAATAATAGTAACATCGCATTTCTTGTTTGAGATGTTTCTATTCTCGATGTATTAATGAGATTCTATCGTGAAACAGCGTTCGATATTATTCCGTGGAGTTTAGTAACTCGAACGAGTTTCCTCCGGGCACCCTTCCTCGTCAGAACAATATAAAGCATCGATCAGGCCAACTGCG